AAACCTCTCCAAAAAAATAAATAAATAAAATAAATAAATAAAAATAAATAAATAAAAGATGTTAAATGTTTGACTTTAGGTTGTGGAAAATGGACACAGTAATAATAAACTATTTACTCAGTGAAATTTTTCAGAGATGTGTAGAAAATCATGATTTCAAAAGTCTATTTTTCCTTGAAGAAAGAAGAGAGAAGTAGAAAAGTACACTGGAGAAAGAGAGAAAGAGAGAGATTCTGAAGATAAATAATTGACCTTCTAAAGAATAAATATTGCTTTTTATGAATATGGGAGACTTAAATATTATAAAGAATACTGGTATGGTCCAAGACTTATTGAATTTCTATGTTAACTTGTCGACTTGTATGTTGTAGAAACAAAAGCAATTTCTGTTTGGTGAAGAACAAATCCAAAACGTTATTACTTATTGTTCTCATAAAACATAAACTAGTTCTGATCGATTTAACATCTTATTGGTCCCCTCATTAATTATTCTGTAGAATAAAATTTTGGACATGTCTTGAAAAAATTTTTGATAAAATACAACAACCCATTGTGATTAAGACTCCCAGCAAAATAAGGGTAGAAGGGATACCTCTCAACACAATTAAAGCCATATGAGACAGATCCATTACTAACATCATACTGAGTGAGGAAAAGCTGAAGGCCTTGCCACTAAATATTGGAACAAGAAAAGGCTGCCCACATTTCTCCACTCCTTTTCAACATAGCGCTGGAAGTCCTTGCCAATGTAATCAAACAAGAAAGCAAGATAAAAGGCATTCAGATACGAAAAGGAAAAAGCTAAACTGTTCTTATTTATAGATGATATGATTATATACACAGAAAATTCAAGTAGCATTGATACTATGTTATTTTTATATACCAACAATAAACAGGCTGATACAGAATTGAAGAAAGCAATCTCATTACAATGGACACAAATAAGGTATCTAGGAATAAACATAACCAAACACGTGAAAAAAACTCTATAAGGAAAACTATGAAAAATTGAAAAAAGAAATTGAGTATGATATAAAAAAAATATATAAAGTCATCCAGTGTTCTTGGACTGAAAGAATCAATATAACCAAAATGTCAGTTCCACCCAAATTAACTTACATATTTCAAGAAATTGTGATGCAATTGCTAGAGACATTCTTAATAGAGAAAAACAACCATAAAATTTATCTGGAATCTTAAAAGACTCTGTGTCACCAAGGCGACACTGTGCAAAATGGAAAAAGTAGATAGCATCTCATTCTCTGACCCCAAAACATATTATAAAGTGGTGGTAATCCATACAGCATGGGACTGGCACAAAAAAACAGGCATGTAGACCAATGGAACAAAATTGAGAACCAGAAATGAACTCCAAAACACACACTCAGTTATCTTTGAAAAAAGAGTGCAAGATAGTGAGAGGAAAGATATTAAGGAGGAAACTAGAGAGGCAAGACATTTACAGGACAGGAAAGGATTACTGTCTGTTGATTATAACATGTATAGTATCCCCAACTGGGGTGGTATGAAGTGTATTCATGTTAGGAGAATTCACTTTACAAACTAGGTGATCTACAGTGATTGAATGTATAAAAGAAATTAAAATTTAAAAGTAATAAAACTTCTAAAAAGAGTACCAACAGTGAAATGGAAAAAAAGTAAATCTTGTCAGCAAATGGTGCTGGAAGAACTGGGTATCTATCTGCAGAAAAGTGAATATAGACCTCTGTCTCTTACCATTAAAAAAATAAATTCAAAATGCATCAGAGATTTAATTTTACAGCCTCAAACTATAAAAATACTAGTGGAAAACTCAGGGGAAACTCTGGAAAACACTGAAGTGGGCAAAGGTCTTATTTAATAAGACTCCTAAAACACAGGTAATAATCCCCAAAACAGACAAATGGAATTACATCAAGCTGAAAAAACCTCCTCTCAAGGCATGGCTGAATGCTGTCTTCTTTTATCAGTAGTTTACAGAGTCAGATAGCATGTAAAAGTAACATCTTCCCTCTGAAGTGATCATGATACTGTGCATTGTTTTTTCATAGCATATCTTTATTAGAAGTGAATACAAATAAATAAAATAAAAAACTTTCTCACAGCATAGAAAACAAAGCATAGAGTGAAAAGCCTAGCCACAGAATGGGAGAAAATACTTAGAAATAATTCTCAGAAGAGATTGATAACCAGAATATACAGGGATCACAAACAGCTCACCCATAACAAAATAGACAATCCAATTAAAAATGGGCAAATGAATTGAACAGACAACTCTCCAAGGAAGACTTATGAATAGCCAAAAGACATACAGAAAAGTGTTTGAAATCTCTTGTCATAAGAGAAATGCAAACTAAAACCACAATGAGATACCACTTAACCCCAATTGGAATGGCTAGGACAAAAGACAAATAACAACTCGCATCTCCTGCCCCCTGGCCTAAAGGATACTGAGGCAAGGCAAGTCTCTGGCTCCTGGCCCCAGTTCCAGCTCCTTCAACCCCAAAGTCCCCTCCTGTCAGCAAGAACTGCGCCCAGCTCCCCAGCAGAGCCCATTTCCATCTCCTGCCCCCCTAGCCTAAAGGACACTGAGACAAGGCCAGTCTCTGGGCCCTGGCCCCAGTTCTATCCCCCTTAAGCCCAGAGCCCCCTCTTGCCAGCAAGACACCAGAATAGAATACTCCTCCAGTGTGGACCATAGCAGAAGAAAGACTTCGGCACACATCAGTCCACAGCAAAAGGGAAGCACACTTGTTCCCAGTCAAAGAAACATCTTCCATAAAGGTATCCAAAAGTGAATACTTCTCCCAATGGATACAAGTAGAAGAGCCTCAGGTCTGAATAAACCAGGAAATATCTCTCCATCAGAAGAACACAATACCTCCCTGCCATCTCTTAGGAAAAAAAAAAAAAAAGATGATGTGGGACCAGCAGTTAGCGTAATGGCTATGTCACTGGACTCCCACGTAGTTGACTGCAGTTCGAATCCCAGACCTGGCAGCTTAAACTCGCACCAGATGTGTGTGTGTGTGCGTGCCCAAGATCCTGTCTCTGCCTTTCTGGAGAGCGCACATGCCCTATAGCGAAAAAAAAAAAAAATTAAAAACAGAGGATGGGACCAGTAGTTGGCATAATGGCTATGTCACTGGACTCCCATGTAGTCAACCATGGTTCGAGTCCTAGACTCGGTGGCTTAAACTTACTCCGGGCGCATGCGTGTGCATGCCCAAGATCCCAATAGGAGAATGGAGGAGAAGGGATTGTGGCATGGCTGTCCTCCCTGGGGAGTGATTTCTTGCTTTCTATCTCTCTGTCTCTGTCCTTCTGGTGAGCGCACGTACCCTATAGCAAAAACCTCTCCGAAAAAAAAAAAAAAAA